ACTGTCTCCGCCAATGGGTTTCCACCCTTCTCACTGCTGCCTGATATTTAGAGGTAAGTAAACTGATATAAGTTGGGTATAGAGCTATGTGCTGGTGGCAGCGTCCAAACGCAGGCTCTGCAAAGCTCACTGATAGGTTTGCAAAGAGAGGTTTCCTTGTGTTGCAGGCACAGATTGTAGCAGCGTAGCAGCTCTGAGGCTCGAACTACAGGGTTCGACCACAATCCCTGGTTCCAATCCCTGGTTCAGAAGCTATAGCGGCCAGAAGAGCCGTGTTCCACACGAATTTCCAGGACTATGCTGCAGTTTCTCAGATAATTTTCATGACCCAAGGCACGCTTCATGCGCAACCTAAACTTCCCCCGACCAACCCACATGAAACACTTGAAACACAGGAAGCTGTTTCCGGCGATGACTTCACATTGCATCCACATGCCAACACCCTACAACCAAGTACCTGGCAGTTCTCTTTTCTGCCAGAAGTTACAAGAACAAACTCGACCGGGCCGAGCTGAGCCTCCACTTTCACGCTCACAGAGCCACAAAGTGTTTTGGGGAGTGGGTCAAACCACTCTGAACCCCGTAAGATGTCTTCAGGTTGGGCACGAAGACTTCAATGACTGCAGAGATGGTGATGGTGAAAGACTACTTCGAGCTTTGCTGGACTATGAAGACTCAACATTCAAGCCGCTCCAATTGTATAGATCTCCGGAACCTGGTTGTGAAGACGTCAGAGATAGTGACTGCGCAGGATTCTGCATGATTGCCTGCGGCTGTGCTTCGTGTGATTATCTAAATTGTGGAAAGCACATGCTTAGAAGGCGGCGTCATGGCTGCTCCAATGTGTAGGGAACATTCGTAGCAATTGAACCACTTGCTGCCCCATTTGTAGCGGCATTTTCTTTGTGATGCCGTATTGGTAGCAGCATTAACCGTTTGAATCAGGTACTGTAGTGTCGATATGGATCAAAATAATTCACTGGCACGGGTGACGCTTGGCTGTGCTATTTGTACAAAGTACTGCGAGGTGGGGCTTGCTGGCTACAGAAACAAACGCGGACACATCAGCGGAGGTCACAATTGCGGAACACATCACTTGGTGACGATCAAACTTGAGTGTCGATCGGCTTGGCCGGGTTATTGTATGGAACAGTCATGGTTCTGGCAAAAGTACCAAATCACCAGTCACATGTCATGGAGGCGCATTGGCACAGCTGCTACTGTAGCTTCTTTCGGCAGGATGCCCATATGCCATGATCTCTCAACACTGCGTGTCATGTCAGAGTGTGACAGCTCTTTAATGTCATCTTTTTGGCTGTCCCTGGCAGCAAAGTGATGTAAGGATGTAAATTGGGTGTGCTTGTTGCAGATAGTTCCGGCGCCTCTCCACTTCTCATCATACTTTTATTTTTTGACCTGTACAGTCAGAAAACGGCCGTTGCAAGCTACCAGGACGTCAAACACTAAACAGCAACCTCTCAAGCATTCTTAACCGAACCAGTCTTGCATTCAGGCTCCTTATCTTCCAGTTTTGGCACCAAAGTTGTCAAAGAGTTTGACTTTGACAGCAACCATTGCTCTTGCGTTGCTTCAGCTTCGCTACATCTCGCGGTGGAATGGGGCAATAATCCACCAGCCTCTGTCAAAGCTCTGAGCGGCAATTGTTCAACAATGCATACTACTGAAAAACAATGAAAAACAGATGGCCTTATGGCCTTATAAAATTCAACACCCTCCGTGAGGACCTATAGAGGACCTTAAAGCCTCATCCGGCCCATGCGAAAAGGATTTCCGAATCACAATCATGGGCCGAGTATAAAACGAGAACGGGTCCGGAGACTAATGCCGAAAGCCAAGAACCACTGCAGCTTCTCTTCTGTCTTGAATGGCAGCTCTTAGCAAAGCTTACATATCCCAAAGCCCAAACAGGCTGGGATCAACAAATTCAGCAGAACTGGAAAAGCTCGACAAAGCGGTGACTTTTCAAGCCATTCACCCAAATCTGCAAATTGGAGTTGCCTGGATTTGGGCGTGTCTGTGTTTCAATCTACCACTTAAGTACAGGTACTGAATGGAGGCTGGCCCACACCTCGAAGTGCAGCAGTTTGCATGTTTGTCAAAAAGCATTTTGCGCATCTTCTTGCAAGCTTCCAAGGACCCAAGTTGGGTTTCAGAAGGGTCAGGTCTCACCAAATGCGGCTTGCTTAATGAGGGGCTTGTGCTTTGGAACAAACGGGTTACTTTTTCAGGATTTGGTCATGAGTCATGACTCCTTTGGGCTGATCTTACTAAAACTGACGGAATGAGGGGGAAGAGACATACACAAAGAAGCTAGTCAAGGATTGACATGGCTTGCAAAAAATGTCAAGTTAGGCCTGCTCCCCAAACCGAGATGGAATTCACGCGGCGGCCAATACTGGCCCTCACCTGGAAGGAAGGAGCTGGAAGCCTGCGGGAAACAGCTGTTTCAAGCACCCGCACATAAAATCTGCAAATCCGTCCGACAAAACGATGCCTCGCAAACTTGGCCCTTCTTTGGAACAGGATCTGAAATCGTTGGCCAACCTCTCACAAGCCATAATCTTATTGTGAGGGCCACGACCCGTTTTAATGAACTGACAATTTGTCTGCACATGCCTAGATGGACAGCATACACTTTGCACTTCCTTGGGTCAAACCCGTGCTAACAACAAGTTTTAACCGCGATTCTCGAGCATCTTGCTTTGACCTCCAACATTCGATCAACATCAGGGTCACATGTTGGGTTTACAGGGAAAAATCTGAGACGGTCGCACATGTTCTCAGCAAGCCTGATCTCCAGGCAAATCGCCAGAAGCTGAGAGCCAAAAAAACCTGCTCATGCAGCGTGTTCCAAAATTCTTCGAGAACAACAAGTTTGCGAGGCTTAGTTGGAGGATGTTGGAGAATGGAGTCGCAAGTGTTTTTCTTGAAGCCTTAGTGGCCTCAGTGGCCTTCATTCTCTGAGGCCTCGCGGCCTCCCTGGGACAGTTTGACCGCGGTTCAAAGCTGCCCAGATTGGAGAGCTTGAGAGCTCTGGGACATATCAACAACGGAAGTATCAATCAGACACCAATAGTTTGCCGATGGCTGAAAGCTGTTTTCTATACCTGACATGTTGAGGAACATGGGATCACAGATTCAGTGCCCGCTCCGGAGCAACCATTGCCATTCAGAAAGCATAAGCAGGCCCTATTTCGTGCAAAATGCAGAAGAATTATTCTTTGAACTCATCAGGACATTTTACATCCAGAACTCCCAAGCCCCGTGCTATTGTGGTACCTTTCAGGTTTGATGCAACCCGCTCTTAGATTACATTGCATATAGACATATGAACAGGCTTACTATTGGAAGCGACTGTCCAGTCGGTCTGTGGATTGGTTCAAGTGGCCCCCTTCTGTCGCCATTACTCTTGCAGCAGCCTCGTGTCGCGGGTTTTCTCTTTGGTGCTGCCTACTCATTGCAAAACTACTTTCGCAAACCTTCACGGCTGGCTGAGTTTTTCGTACATTGTTGCGGCCGGCTGAGTTTTTCATACATTGTTGCGAAGTTAATGCATTTGAGGAACCGTGGTTTTAGTTCTTGCGAAGGTATGCTACTTGAACCGCCCTTCATCCGAAGACTTTTGGGTGTATGGATGCTGCTCGGATGGCTTCTCTCCAGTAGGGAACTGGCAGCACTGGACGACAATTTTCTTGGCAGAAGCACAATTCGTTTCGTGGTGCAACTGATGTACAACGCAAGTACAGCCAAGGGACTTGGAGTCTAGAAGGCATCCAGAGAATGCGAGTCCAACGGATATACCTTTGGTTTCAACTTGTCAACGAGGCAAAACACGCCTCTTCCTGCACTTTTTTGTCACAGTATACCGCTGCTGGGCAAACGATGCACAAATGTCGAATCAAATCTCAATCGCTACGAGTCTGGGATCGAGCTGCTTAGTTTCACCTGCTCCATGAGATTGAGAAAATGCCAAGCACCTGGGGCGAATGTGCCACACCCTTGACACTGATGGCAAAACACTCGCCCGAGGCTGCTGAAAGCCAAACGCTACACCAAAAACACAGAAGGTCGAGACAGAAAAATCTGATTACACCCTTACCACCTAATTAAATTTCTTGCAGCGCGTGAACTTGATGAGATAGAAGTTCAGCAATGTGTGAAACACAAACAAAAACAAAACACCTTTCTCACTTTCCCATACCATAACCGTGGAAGAAGATCAACATGACAAATCATGTTGCGTCTGCGAAATCTCGTACTGGCAAAAGACTTCAAGTCGTCTTCAAGAAGCCAATACGCTAAGCTGCAAAGTACAGGGATCAAACCTGCGTCGTGACAACCGTATCCTGAATTAGGGAAATAATGGCCTCAAACAGTTTGACCTTGTCACAGGTCAGTCAGATCAGTCCTAGTTATTTCACTCACAGATATGCGGAGTAACATCCCATCAGCGCACCAAGGCCCAGGTTCCAGCAGTAGGGCAAGCTGAAGGTGCCCAGGTAAAGGAAGCAGGTCACCAGCCTTCAACGAAAAAAAACTGTCATGCCATGCCTCACCTCTCAAAAAAAGGGGCTGGGGCTTGGCCATGCCTTTGTTTCATGTTTGAAAAAATTCGGTAGCTGGTTTCAACCCTGAAAAGTATGCTCGTCATTGGGGATCATCATCCCAGTGCGAGCCCGCGCAGTCGAAATGCACATCAACATGTCACAACAGCCACTTTATGCAGAAATTTACAGGAAAAATGCCGCTGCACCGAACCGCGCCGCACACTTTGTACGAGCCTGCGCAGACGAAATGCACATCAACATGTCACAAGAGCCACTTTATATGGAAATTTACAGGAAAAGTGCTTACCAAGTCCGGAAAGTGTTTTTTGGGCTCAAGACTCAAGACCCTGTGAATCCATCTGACTCGGAAGAACGTTCTCATCAAGCCTGGTTCTGGCTGCTACCCATGGCACACGGCAGCAACGCCCGGCCTGCCAACCCAATCATCCCCGAACCCTAAGTGTAGTGGCAGGTGGACTTGCCGGATTTCCACCATTACGAAGTCCTGCCTTGGGCACAACAGCTAGTCTCTTCGGGCGGAAGCCACATGCTTGTGAAATATGTGAATATGTTCAGCCAGAGAGTGAAAGCGTCGCGAACATAATATGGACGAATATGTACGATATCATTTTGGACCATTGCAGTCTCACTGAACACTGCAGGTTATGTATGTTGTTTTTTGTGGCGCAAAAGCGCCTCGGATCGTAAGGCAACTTGATTGCCTCGAAAAAGAAAACGTCCTGCGTCCGAGGCACCAATCTAAGAACCCTGCTCCAGAACCTCTTCCAAGTCAAAGAATGTGGGCTGCAGTTGATTGCCCAAACAGGTTTGAAATGTTTGAAGACCAGCAGCTGTTCTCAAAAATCCGTTCTATGATCTACATGTGCATAGATGGGAATATTATCCCGGCAAGAGACCCCAAACAGTGTGGGGGGGTGGGAGGATCATGTATGATAATGTTGATGATGATGTTGATGATGATGATGATGGCGATGATGATGATGGTGGTCATGATAATGATCATGATCATGATGATGAGAATGACGATGAGGATGAGGATGAGGATCAGGATGATGATGTTGAGGATGATGAGGTGCGCGGGGATGGCAAATGAATAGGTTTTTGCCAATTTACCGTGACGATGGCAACGAGTAAAAGTTTCTGTGTGTAAAAGCTCTTCTGTGTACATTTTTTTCTATGTAAATGTTTCTGCATGTAAAAGTTCTTCTTTGCAAAAGCTTCTGTGTGTCAAAGTTCTCTGTGTAACAGCAGCGGCTCTTGTGTGTAAAACAAAAATTCTTCTGTGTAAAAGCTCTTCTAGGCTCTTCTGTGAAAAAGTTTCTCTGTGTAAAAGTTAATCTGTGTAAAAGTTTCTGTGCGTATTTTTTTCTGTGCGAAAAAAAATTCTTTGTAAAAGCTTCTGTAACAGCTGTGTAAAAGTTTTCTATGTAAAAGTTCTTCTGTGTAAAACCTGTTCTGTCTAAAAAATTCTCTGTGTAAAAGTTTTTCTGTGTAAAAGTTCTTGTGTGTAAAAGCCTCTGTGTGTAAAAACTCTTCTGTAGCTCTTCTGCGTAAAAGTTTCTGTGCGTAAAAGCTCTTCTGTGTAAAAGTTTCTCTGCGTAAAGGTTTTTCTGTCTAAAAGTTTCTCTGTGTAAAAGCTCTTGTGTGTAAAAGTTTCTCTGTGTAGAGGCTCTTCTGTGTAAAAGCTCTTCTGTGTAAAAGGCTCTTCTGTGTGCAAAAGCTCTTCTGTGTGTAAAGGTTCTTCTGTGTAAAAGCTCTTCTGTGTGAAGGTTCTTCCGTGCAAAAGCTTCTGTGTGTAAAAGTTCTTCTGCGTAAAAGCTCTTCTGTGTGTGTGTAAAAGCTCTTCTGTGTAAAAGCTCTTCTGTGTAAAAGCTTCTGTTAGTAAAAGCTCTTCTGTGTAAAAGTTTTTCTGTGTAAAACCTTCTGTGTGCAAAAGCTCTTCTTTGTAAAAGCTCTTCTGTTTAAAAAGTTTTGTGTGTAAAAGCACAAGCTCAGCTCTTCTGTGTAAAAGCGCTTGTGTGTAAAAGCTCTTCTTTTTGTAAAAGCTCTCTGTGCAAAAGCTCTTCTGTGTAAAGCTCTTCTGTGTAAAATTTTCTTCTGTGTGTAAAAGCTCTTCTGTGTGTGTAAAGGCTCTTCTGTGTAAAAGCTCTTCTGTGTAAAGGCTCTTCCGTGTAAAAGCTTCTGTGTGTAAAAGCTCTTCTGTGTGTAAACGCCCTTCCCAGAACCGCGCGCCACACTTTGTGCAAGCCTGCGCAGTCGAACTGCACTTGGACATTGCACAAGTGCCACTTCATACGGAAATTTACAGAAAAAATGCCGCAGACCAAAACCGCGCCGCAGACTTTGTGCGAGCCTGCGCAGTCGAAACGGACATCAACATGTCAGAAGAGCCACTTTACACGGAAATTTACAGGGAAAAGGCCGCCGGACAGAATTTCGCCCGGCCATCTTCAGTCTTGGCGTCCGGAAAAGGCGAAAGCCCTTTTTGGAGGTTTCACAAATCGCACAGTTGGGATCACCCGATTCGCAACCAACTCCTCGAAGAAGAAGTAGGTATGACCCACCACGAGTCCAAGAAGGTGGTCCTGAAAAGGGAAATTTTCCCCCCAAAGTCGTGTTCGTCGTCGTCTCAAAGTACTTTCCAATCAGCCACATCTTGGATGATCATCATGCACCCCACTTGCTGTCGGAATTCTCCAGGGTTGATGCTGACTCTAGCTCTTGCACTCTTCATGTATCATGAGATTTTGATCCTGGACGTTACCTCCCAGGAGAACCAACGGTGCAAATGATGCATTCTGCGAAAAAAATCTCTCTTAGTTCGGCTTTCTCCACGTGCCTCCCATCAGAAGGGATATCCAGAGAGAGAGACCTCAGCGAGGCAATGTTCTGAAAAGGACCAAAAAATACGGAAAAATAGATTGATTTGGGCCGGTCTGGTATACCATTCATCATTTCATTGTGCCTCTGATGTTTTGGAAAGGTCTACACATCACTCTACGACTCTACAAACCACTGTAAACAGAAATATGATGATGATGTTTCCCAAGTGAAACTGAGGGCTGGCCCCTCATCTAATCAACCAAGCAGTAGGCAAGTAGCCAGTAGGACAAGGCACCCAGGGCAAACAGGGCGTGCGGATGGTGAAAAACAGCACCTGGCACCATGTTTGTGATCTGGTTGAGTGACCACGGGTCGAAAGCCATGTTCAAAAATCTCCCAGTGATCGCAAACAGCACACGCCCTTCAATCACTGGTAGCCTTGGGGCCTTGGGGATCACATTCGCATGACACCATCTGCAACCAACAACTCGTGTACCTGCATTCTTGCCGTTGGAGTCCGCTGGCCCCGAGATATGTCATGAGGTCAATCAGTGCTCCACTCACAAAGTACCTGGCACTGCAACAGGCGTGGAGTGGAACTTTGTTCAAAACTCTGATTAGAAGTTTACAATCCCCGGTATTTGGTATTTGGTCATCAGATTGGTAGGTCAGAAGACTCTCAGGGTCTAGAATCTGGATGTCTGAAGGAATCTCAAAATGACAACCAGCTATCCTAGAACTGGGTCATTGATGAGCGTGTTGCAAGATTCTTTGTCAAGGAGTTTTCAGAGGTAGCGCATGCACTAGTGACACCTACTCTTTCTGTTTGGTGCCTGAATCACATATCAAGCCTGCTGGGTCGTAGCCATAAGCAGGCACTCAGTCCTTCTGTGTTAAAAATCTGATGAGAAACATGGCGCACTGGCTCCCAAACAAGTAGGCCAGCACCACAATCATACCTCTCCACAACCGCAAGTCGTGTGAGTTGCTGCATGTTGCCGCAGCAAGAACAAGAGCCATGTCGACAAAAAGCGCATTTTATGCACAGCGCCTGCGCTACAGACCAGCATCCACAGGTACTCGGCCGATTTTCTTTGAAAGGCCACATCTTCCAGCCAGGAGCAATAGTGTACCTCTGTAACATTCAGGGTCTGCTCAAGATCACTTAAAGTCAAGACCTCACACGCTTTGCAACCGCCATGTCCATAAAGCAGCCCGACCCTGTTTTCCTCTTGCTGGATGCTGTTCGCATGACGCCGCTGCATCACCTGTCACAGGGATGACGCAAAGAATGCGAAGGAGGGATGATAACAAGAATCTAGGATTCCTAGAAAACAAAATTAGGGGCTCCGCAGTCCCTGGTCCTCTGGTCCCCTGGTCCTCTCGTTCTATTGGTCCTCTGGTTCTTTTGGTCCCCTGGTCCCTTGGGCTTTTGGTCTCCCATCCACACAGGCGAAAGTTGACTCACACACACAGGCGTTTTTGACTCACACACACAGGCGAAAGTAGGGTCACACACACAGGCGTTTTCATTAATGAACCCACAACCACCATGAACACACACCACTTTATGTTACAGAGTTGTGGAGGGGGTGGGGTGGGGTGGGGTGGGGTGGGGTAATAACGTTCATTTCGCTTGCAAACACACGCACTGAGCTGGGGTCGGGCTTGGTTTGTGTGGGGTGGGGTGGGGTGGGTGTAATAACGTTCACTTTCGCTTGCAAACACACGCACTGAGCTGGGGTCGGGCTTTGGTTGGGTGGGGTGGGGTGGGGTAGGGTAACCTTCTCCGCTGTTATGATACCCCTTTGAATTAAGTGAGAGTGTTGGTGTTGACAATTTTATAGTGATAATTCTGGAGACGCTGACCCTCTTTCTGAAAATACATCTATAGAATCAGAGACCCCAAGGTATTTTCAAGTTGACAATCTCTATAGAATTGCTGTCATTGAGGTCGTTTATGAGCATCATTTTCTATACACTCTCGTAGGGTCTTTTTTAGGTTGGGGGGGTTAGTTGGCCTTCTATAAACTCAGACTCCCCAAATATCATTCATTGACAGCTGACCTGAATGCTCCACTTGCTCTTGCCTAGCTTACCTTATGCATTTCCAAATTTATATGGCTCAAAGGCTCCAAGTGTTCGATGTCAACCTCTTTGATTTTATAGACTTGTGAAAAATGCTTGAAAGATCTTGACAGTTGCTCTGTTTCACTTTGTTTCCATCTGTTTCCATCCACTTCCTTTTTTTAAATCCTCGCTGCTCTGGTATCTGCCAATACTTCTCTATAGAATTGAAGAACATTACATATATCCAAAGAAAACATATCCCACTATAGAATCGCAGTCCCTAAGACTCTCTGCTGACTAGTACTCAGTGCTGTATTCAACATGAAATCTCTATAGAATCAGAGACCCCAAGCTCCTCCATAAAATTGAAAGCGTTGACATTGGGTAGGTACCCCTAAACAAAGCAGGGGTTAAAACACATCATTTTCCAGGACTTAATGTTCCTGATTCTATAGAGGAAATTCCAAGAGGGATTTTAAAAGAACAAAGACCTTTATTCCATTTTATTCCCCTGTGCTCTACGTTTTCAAACTTTGCTCAAGACAGCCGAATGCACTTTCTTGATCTGTTATGATCTATTCATGTTTTCGACCACAACAGAAAGCTGGGCCTCGGCGGGTCTGAATCGTGGCGATCATGGCGAACCACCTGAAACCTTGGACGGTCACCTCGCCGTGGAATCAGGCTGCAATGTCGCTGTAGAGATTCCAAGTGCCGCCGTTCACTCTGCACAGGGGTTCGGATAAGAGTCCTGGGGTACTGCGGCAAAACAGCACGATGGTTTTGGCTTTTTTTTGATCACACTCTTGCTCCGCACTTCACCCACAACATCCGTGGATGATGGCATTGGCCAAGCAAGCCACGCACGCCACCTTTCTTAAGGAATCGGGAGAATTCCCCTGCTGCAACGGGCCAATTGAGCATCAGAAGCTCTTGAAGGATGTGGGCAAAGCCAAGAAGCAGCGGGCGCCGGCGACCCTATGCCACGGAGCTGCGCTAGCATCGGCATGAAATCAATCCTTTCAACAGTCTGCTACATCCAGACTCAAAGGAAGGACCGCATATTAGGCAATCATTAATTTCAAACCTCCACGAATCGAGATTCTTGAGCTATGCTTGATGGACCTTGCAAGCAGCAAACATTGGATATCTTCCGGAAATTGAAAACAAGAACGGAGGTGAAAGGCAATCCTGCATGCACTTACAAGATCTGCGCAAATTGAAAAAGTGCGACAACAAACTCATGGGACCAAGCCCTGCCGTGCCGCTGTGCCTTTGTTTCGGGCACCGATTCGACTCTGGCGAACGCACAGGAAGTGCATGGACAACGGACAGTCTTCCCAACTTGGCAGAGCCTTCAGCCAAGACGGTGGTATCTGGAGAACGGACGCATCTGGGAGGTTAGACGTCAAATATACACCGACACTGCGGTCAGTGGAACGTGGGGAAGCTGCCCACTGTCTCCGCCAATGGGTTTCCACCCTTCTCACTGCTGCCTGATATTTAGAGGTAAGTAAACTGATATAAATTGGGTATAGAGCTATGTGCTGGTGGCAGCGTCCAAACGCAGGCTCTGCAAAGCTCACTGATAGGTTTGCAAAGAGAGGTTTCCTTGTGTTGCAGGCACAGATTGTAGCAGCGTAGCAGCTCTGAGGCTCGAACTACAGGGTTCGACCACAATCCCTGGTTCCAATCCCTGGTTCAGAAGCTATAGCGGCCAGAAGAGCCGTGTTCCACACGAATTTCCAGGACTATGCTGCAGTTTCTCAGATAATTTTCATGACCCAAGGCACGCTTCATGCGCAACCTAAACTTCCCCCGACCAACCCACATGAAACACTTGAAACACAGGAAGCTGTTTCCGGCGATGACTTCACATTGCATCCACATGCCAACACCCTACAACCAAGTACCTGGCAGTTCTCTTGGCTGCCAGAAGTTACAAGAACCAACTCGACCGGGCCGAGCTGAGCCTCCACTTTCACGCTCACAGAGCCACAAAGTGTTTTGGGGAGTGGGTCAAACCACTCTGAACCCCGTAAGATGTCTTCAGGTTGGGCACGAAGACTTCAATGACTGCAGAGATGGTGATGGTGAAAGACTACTTCGAGCTTTGCTGGACTATGAAGACTCAACATTCAAGCCGCTCCAATTGTATAGATCTCCGGAACCTGGTTGTGAAGACGTCAGAGATAGTGACTGCGCAGGATTCTGCATGATTGCCTGCGGCTGTGCTTCGTGTGATTATCTAAATTGTGGAGAGCAAATGCTTAGAAGGCGCCGTCATGGCTGCTCCAATGTGTAGGGAACATTCGTAGCAATTGAACCACTTGCTGCCCCATTTGTAGCGGCATTTTCTTTGTGATGCCCTATTGGTAGCAGCATTAACCGTTTGAATCAGGTACTGTAGTGTCGATATGGATCAAAATAATTCACTGGCACGGGTGACGCTTGGCTATGTTATTTGTACAAAGTACTGCGAGGTGGGGCTTGCTGGCTACAGAAACAAACGCGGACACATCAGCGGAGGTCCCAATTGCGGAACACATCACTTGGTGACGATCAAACTTGAGTGTCGATCGGCTTGGCCGGGTTATTGTATGGAACAGTCATGGTTCTGGCAAAAGTACCAAATGACCAGTCACATGTCATGGAGGCGCATTGGCACAGCTGCTAGCTTCTTTCGGCAGATGCCCATATGCCATGATCTCTCAACACTGCGTGTCATGTCAGAGTGTGACAGCTCTTTAATGTCATCTTTTTGGCTGTCCCTGGCAGCAAAGTGATGTAAGGATGTAAATTGGGTGTGCTTGTTGCAGATAGTTCCGGCGCCTCTCCACTTCTCATCATACTTATATTTTTTGACCTGTACAGTCAGAAAACGGCCGTTGCAAGCTACCAGGACGTCAAACACTAAACAGCTCCCTCTCAAGCATTCTTAACCGAACCAGTCTTGCATTCAGGCTCCTTATCTTCCAGTTTTGGCACCAAAGTTGTCAAAGAGTTTGACTTTGACAGCAACCATTGCTCTTGCGTTGCTTCAGCTTCGCTACATCTCGCGGTGGAATGGGGCAATAATCCACCAGCCTCTGTCAAAGCTCTGAGCGGCAATTGTTCAACAATGCATACTACTGAAAAACAATGAAAAACAGATGGCCTTATGGCCTTATAAAATTCAACACCCTCCGTGAGGACCTATAGAGGACCTTAAAGCCTCATCCGGCCCATGCGAAAAGGATTTCCGAATCACAATCATGGGCCGAGTATAAAACGAGAACGGGTCCGGAGACTAATGCCGAAAGCCAAGAACCACTGCAGCTTCTCTTCTGTCTTGAATGGCAGCTCTTAGCAAAGCTTACATATCCCAAAGCCCAAACAGGCTGGGATCAACAAATTCAGCAGAACTGGAAAAGCTCGACAAAGCGGTGACTTTTCAAGCCTTTCACCCAAATCTGCAAATTGGAGTTGCCTGGATTTGGGCGTGTCTGTGTTTCAATCTACCACTTAAGTACAGGTACTGAATGGAGGCTGGCCCACACCTCGAAGTGCAGCAGTTTGCATGTTTGTCAAAAAGCATTTTGCGCATCATCTTGCAAGCTTCCAAGGACCCAAGTTGGGTTTCAGAAGGGTCAGGTCTCACCAAATGCGGCTTGCTTAATGAGGGGCTTGTGCTTTGGAACAAACGGGTTACTTTTTCAGGATTTGGTCATGAGTCATGACTCCTTTGGGCTGATCTTACTAAAACTGACGGAATGAGGGGGAAGAGACATACACAAAGAAGCTAGTCAAGGATTGACATGGCTTGCAAAAAAATGTCAAGTTAGGCCTGCTCCCCAAACCGAGATGGAATTCACGCGGCGGCCAATACTGGCCCTCACTTGGAAGGAAGGAGCTGGAAGCCTGCGGGAAACAGCTGTTTCAAGCACCCGCACATAAAATCTGCAAATCCGTCCGACAAAACGATGCCTCGCAAACTTGGCCCTTCTTTGGAACAGGATCTGAAATCGTTGGCCAACCTCTCACAAGCCATAATCTTATTGTGAGGGCCATGACCCGTTTTAATGAACTGACAATTTGTCTGCACATGCCTAGATGGACAGCATACACTTTGCACTTCCTTGGGTCAAACCCGTGCTAACAACAAGTTTTAACCGCGATTCTCGAGCATCTTGCTTTGACATCCAACATTCGATCAACATCAGGGTCACATGTTGGGTTTACAGGGAAAAATCTGAGACGGTCGCACATGTTATCTCAGCAAGCCTGATCTCCAGGCAAATCGCCAGAAGCTGAGAGCCAAAATACCCTGCTCATGCAGTGTGTTCCGAAATTCTTCGAGAACGACAAGTTTGTGAGGCTTCGTTGGAGGATGTTGGAGGATGGAGTCGCAAGTGTTTTTCTTGAAGCCTTAGTGGCCTCAGTGGCCTTCATTCTCTGAGGCCTCGCGGCCTCCCTGGGACAGTTTGACCGCGGTTCAAAGCTGCCCAGATTGGAGAGCTCGAGAGCTCTGGGACATATCAACAACGGAAGTATCAATCAGACACCAATAGTTTGCCGATGGCTGAAAGCTGTTTTCTATACCTGACATGTTGAGGAACATGGGATCACAGATTCAGCGCCCGCTCTGGAGCAACCACTGCCATTCAGAAAGCATAAGCAAGCCCTATTTCGTGCAAAATGCAGAAGAATTATTCGTTGAACTCATCAAGACATTTTACATCCAGAACTCCCAAGCCCCCTGCTATTGTGGTGCCTTTCAGGTTTGATGCAACCCGCTCTTAGATTACATTGCATATAGAATCATATAGACATATGAACAGGCTTAATATGGGGGCGACTGTCCAGTCGGTCTGTGGATTGGTTCAAGTGGCCCCCTTCTGTCGCCATTACTCTTGCAGCAGCCTCGCATCGCGGGTTTTCTCTTTGGTGGTGCCTACTCATTGCAAAACTACGTTCGCAAACCTTCACGGCTGGCTGAGTTTTTCGTACATTGTTGCGGCCGGCTGAGTTTTTCATACATTGTTGCGAAGTTAATGCATTTGAGGAACCGTGGTTTTAGTTCGTGCGAAGGTATGCTACTTGAACCGCCCTTCATCCGAAGACTTTTGGGTGTTTGGATGCTGCTCGGATGACTTCTCTCCAGTTGGGAACTGGCAGCACTGGACGACAATTTTCTTGGAAGAAGCACAGTTCGTTTCGTGGTGCAACTGATGTACAACGCAAGCACAGCCAAGGGATCTGGAGTCTATAGAAGATATCCAGAGAATGCGAGTCCAACGGATATACCTGATACCTTTGGTTTCAACTTGTCAGCGGGGCAAAACACGCCTCTTCCTGCACTTCTTTATCACAGTATACTACGCTTCTGGGCAAACGATGCACAAATATGCACAAATGTCGAATCAAATCTCAATCGCTACGAGTCTGGGATCGAGCTGCTTAGTTTCACCTGCTCCATGAGATTGAGAAAATGCCAAGCACCTGGGGCGAATGTGCCACACCCTTGACACTGATGGCAAAACACTCGCCCGAGGCCGCTGAAAGCCAAACGCTACACCAAAAAACACCAGGTCGAGACAGAAAAATCTGATTACACCCTTACCACCTAAATTTTTGATGAGATAGAAGTTCAGTACTGTGTGAAACACGAAAACAAAACACCTTTCTCACTTTCCCATACCATGACCGTGGAAGAAGATCAACATGACAAATCATGTTGCGTCTGCGAAATCTCGTACTGGCAAAAGATTTCAAGTCGTCTTCAAGAAGCCAATACGCTAAGCTGCAAAGTACAGCGATCAAACCTGCGTCGTGACCAATACCCCAACCTTGGACGATAAGCAACATGGAACAACCGTATCCTGAATTAGGGAAATAATGGCCTCAAACAGCTTGACCTTGTCACACATCAGTCAGATCAATCCTAGCTATTTCACTCACAGATATGCGGAGTAACATCCCATCAGCGCACCAAGACCCAGCTTCCAGCAGTAGGGCAAGCTGAAGGTGCCCAGGTAGAAGAAGCAGGTCACCAGCCTTGAACGAAAAAAACAGCCATGCCATGCCTCAACTCTCAAAAAAAGGGAAAGGGGCTTGGCCATGCCTCCGTTTCATTTTTGAAAAAAACTGGGTAGCTGGTTTCAACCCTGAAAAGTATGCTCGTCATTGGGGATCATCATCCCAGTGCGAGCCCGCGCAGTCAAAATGCACATCAACATGTCACAAGAGCCACTTTCTGCGGAAATCTACAGGAAAAATGAAGCGCGTCGAAATATTGAAGCATTGGAGCATTGGTTTAAAGCCACCTCAGTTTGAAGGAACATCGATCCAAGATGCTCCAAGAATCAGGTTCTGTACATTTCTGGACCATGAATGGCCATGTTGAATCATCCCTGAGGCAAAAAGATAGGACAAAAAATGGAAAAAAGAGAGAGGAAGATAGACGAAGTCTCTGTGTCCTTTTCAGTTTTCTTACTCAACTTGAAGCAGAAACTTCATCCCAAAACATGTCTGTTACTGTGTGCATGTGGGTGTGTTGGCACCTCTCATCACATTGCTTCAGCGGACTGATATGACAAGGTTACATGTCCTCATGAGCACCAGGTTCCCAACAATCCGTCGAAGCAAGGATTTCGAGTGCCTTTCGATCTCAGACCACAGTCGATCACACACTACCAATGTCAATTTGTAGCATTCCTATCTGAAGATACCGCCGCGCCGCGCATAAGAAAAAGAAGTGGAAGAGGCAAAGATACAACAACTCGACAGAATACAAACAAAGACAACGAACCATGAGACAAAACCAACGAAATTTAAACAACAATACTAATTCTAATGCAAAAAACAATATAGAGGTGATGTTCGTCTCAGTCCAACCGCGGACTGTTCCGAGCTCAAGAGATGTGGAGATTTCGGAAGCATAAGTCACCATGTGTGGTCCACGGCCGGACCATACCCAAAAGATTTCACAAAAATGTTTCGAAAAGTGGGATGAAAGATGATGAAAGCCAACTGAGCCAACTTTTCCTGCCTTAGCAGGCCACACGGCAAAGGTTTCTGCCGTAGACTGCAGGGGCAACGTTCACCTCAGGTTGCAGGAATATCAATCTGGGAATGGATTTAATATAACATGATTAAACCACCCCTAACGGTCAAATCTTGTGGAATCTGTCTGTGGAATCTAGTTGCGCCAGGTTCCGGGCTGCTGGAGCGACTCGCGAAATCCAAGGGCCTGTCATCGGTGTGTTTAACTTGAAACCAATATTTCGCTCCACACCACACACCACCATTCGCGACAGGAGCCCATTCACCTTTCAGGAGTTTCCAAACCTCTTAGTGGATTGAGTCTCCATACAATATCATTTCATTGTTCGTATTTCTGCTCATATGCACGACACACACCATGCACATTACTACGCGGTGCATTTCGGCTCTACCCCGGGAATGCCCGAAATAGCCTCCACAGCGAGGAACCATCGACGCCCTGCTGCATCACACAGGCATCGGCAGCACTGACTGTGGGGGTGGCGGCATCCCTGGCGTGGTGAGGGTGGAGCCCGGAGGGCCTCTGCCACCATGGCTGCCACCCCGGGGACACCGTTGCCAGCTCCGGCATCTGGGTGGAGGGGCAGGGGAAAGGCCAAATGCGCAGGTGGGCAAGGGATGTGGTGGGAGGGTTCCGGGCGGCAGCTTGGAAGTAAACCACTCGGGGCCGAAGCTTGGGAGAGGGCTCATTGACCCAACTTTCCCGTCTTGCACACCTGGCCAGCGATGATATAATGTGACAGGGCAATATGGTGCCAAAGTTATGATATGTTCGATAATGACTCTAATGATTGTCCAGTCAAATGCCTGTTGTCTGTTTCGGTCCGCTGACAGTAGGATATGGAGTTCAAAGGTACTTTTAGGATTTCGTAGGTAGCACTCAGTTCGTGTTTTTCTGATGTCCACCGCCTGTTATCAGCTAGAAGCATGGTACTGCGGCTCTCATAACTTACCTGTTTCGAGGGAGTCGCATGGAGTCACCACCCGGACCTTTCGGTTGGAAGGTCACCATCTTCTCAATCTCGTTCGTCAGTCCAAAGCCTTGGCTTCAAGTTTGAATGATGGGGTGGGCACGCCGGGCAGCTTGGGCAAGTTGAGCACTGCCTTACATTTTGAGCAACTCACAAGTCACTTAGAACAACAGCGAAAAAAATCACTCAAAAGGTAAAACCACGCAAAACCATGTAAAACAACTGCCCAAGCAAAGGAAACAAAAGCTGTTTGGCTGTGGGGGCTAGTCTGGGCATGGCGCACTGGCTCCCAAACAAGTAGGCCAGCACCACAATCACACCTCTCCACAACCGCAAGTCGTGTGAGTTGCTGCATGTTGCCGCAGCAAGAACAAGAGCCATGTCGACAAAAAGCGCATTTTATGCACAGCGCCTGCGCTACAGACCAGCATCCACAGG